GACTCGACAGCATTAACAACAACATCCAAAAGGAGACCTGGTGGTGCTGTATTATGAGCGCTGGGCTGCTAATCTCAAGGTCACCTGTTCTGTGGGAGAACAATGAGGCTTTCTGCTCCTGTAAAGATTTACAGCCTCAGAAACCTACGCAGTGTTGCTATAAGTTAGAACTGACTCCATGGCACATAACCACCACTATCACCACTGTCTAGCCTTTTGCAGAAAATGTTTGCTAGACCCTGGTCTAATACACTCTACCCATCCTACCAGGACCCAAAGGAGCTCTGGTAGTGTAGTGGTTATGAGTTGGGCTGCTAACCTCAAGGTCAGCAGTTTGAAACTACCTGCCATTCTACAAGAGAAAGATGAGGCTTTTAGTTCCTGTAAAGGTTTACAGTCTCGGAAACCCTATGCAGAGTTGCTAAGAGTCGGAACTGACTCCACAACACATAACCACCACCACCATCACCCCCTGGACCCAGTATGAGCCCTTCAGCTCCTCATTCTGTGCGTCACCAGGTGGTTCAAACTCACCAGTTGCTCCTTAGAAACCCTATACAGAGTAGCTATGAATCAGAACCGACTTGATGGTACTTGACAGGGTTTCTTGCACAACTTAATTTCTTCTTGTATTTGTTTATTTGTTGACTGGATCAAATCTTTATTAAGGGCCTGCTGTTGAGTCTGGCCATAGGAAAAGGAACTAAATTGCTGTGTGTCTATCTGTCGTGCACCTCACTCAGTTCATTAGAGAAACGATCTAGTGTAATCTGCACAACTGCCACTCTGCAAGGTAGATGGCATTCTTCCCATTTTATACACAAAGATCAGACAGGAGTAGTCCCATGGCCCGTGTCCCACAGCCAGTCAGCAGCAGGCTCCGATTCCCAGGCTCTCATGGTTAGAGGGATTAGTGGGGGAGCCAAGTGAGAATGAGATGGCAACAGGGGGAACTCACCATTGAGAAGCCACGTGATCTGAGGCACTGGGGTTCCCTGCACTGAGCACTGCAGCACAAAGTCTTGGCCCTCAATGACGGTGCAGTCCTTCAGGACGCTGGAGAAGGAGGGGGCCATGCCCGTCATGGTCAACCCTGCGAGGGCAGACAGCACAAGGCCACGTCAGCAGTGCAGCTCACCTCACACACAGACAAGACCCCTCACCGCCCTGGGCACCCAGCAATCCCTCAGTGGCCTGTTCTGCCAGGATTATTGTAGGATAAGAGCACTCAACCATAGGGTCGGTTTGAACCGCAGTGTTGGTGGTTCAAATTCACCAGACGCTCCTCCGAAACCCTATACAGTGTCTCTGAGTTGGAACCGACTGGACAGAACTTAACAACAATGACATCTTTACTTGGAAAAGCAGGCAGCACTGCTGACGACAGACCAGGAGCCTGAGGTGAAGTGAATGGTGGGGTGTTTTTACAGTCATCCAATAGTCCTGCATCGGAAAGGGATCCAAAGCTGGGCCTACCTTGTCTCCTCTGTGACCCAGGTACCTCCAGTCTTAACTCCACCTGTCCTGGAGTATACTGAGAGCACTCTTTTCCTGTTTTTCTTGGTCCTACTATACCTTTTCTTCTTTAACAAGGACCCTAGTGGTGCTGTGATTGAGCACTGAGCTGCTAACTGAAAGATTGTGGTTGAATCCAACAACTGTTCTGTGGAAGATGAGGCTGTGTGCTTCTATCCACTGATTCCACTGCCATCGAATCAGTTCTGACACATAGCAACCCTATACATGATCTCTGAGACTATAAATCTTTATGGGAGCAGACTGCCTCATCCTTCTTCTGATGTGTGGCTGATTCTGTTTTTAAAATGCAGACTTGCTGTTAGCAGTCCAATGCCTAATCCACTGTGCCACCAGGGTTCCTTTCCATAGACATTGTTGTTGTTGTTAAGTGCTGTCGAGTCGGTTCCAACTCATAGCCACCCTGTATAGGATTTCCGAGGATCAGTTGGTGGATTTGAACCGCCGACCTTACAGTTCAAGCCAACCTTGCATTCCAGTGCATTATCCCACAGCGCCATAGCCTTGGAATTCCTATGGGGCAGTTCTACTCTATCCTATAGGGTCACTGCTCAATAGCAATTGGTTTGGTGTATTTTGGTATCTTTGTTCTTGTGTCTCATTGATGATTACACAGTCTTTTGAGAATATTTTTACTTACAGAGACAACAAGTCCACTGGTGAAGACATTCCAATTTCCAGTTAATATAACTGTCTTTTCCATCCCAGGATTGAATTAAATGACAAAGACTAGTGTGTGATGTAGTTTTCCAAGTGTGGCTTGAGGCTTAGGTTAAGTTGGTGGTTCAGAACCTTTTGAAGTCTGGGAATATGCATTTTACAAGTATCCCACATGATTCTGGTGCACATTCTGCTTGAGAATCACTGAGCTGGACTTTTAAAAAGACTTTTACATCTATAGCTTGAGGAATATTAATTAAGAGCAATGTTGTTATTGTTGTTAAGTGTCGATGAGTTGGTTCTGACTCATAGCCAATCTGTATAGGGTTTCCAAGGTTATACATCTTTACAGGAGGGAAATGTCTCATCTTTCTCCTGTGGAGTGGCTGGTGGGCCCCAACTACTGACCTTGTAGTTAGCAGCAGTTCAATGTTGTTCAATGTTTATCCTACAGAGCCACTGTGCTCAAATTAAGAGCAATAGGGATAGATAAGCATGCCTATAGAAACCAGAATATGTTGCAGAAATGTCAAGGTGACTGTTAGCTGAACAAAAAGATAATTTGATTTGGTAATTAGAGGATAATCATATGTGTCATAGCTTTTCAAGAGAAGCTATTCAATACAGTGATAACCAGAAAGGCCATATTCTATTACGAAGAAGAAAGAAAGATATCACAATTAAGAAAGGGCACATTTGAGGATCAGTTACATGCCAGGTTCTGTTCTAGATGTGACTGGGACAACACCAGGGAATTGCTATCTTAAACTCATTTTACACATGATATTAATAATTTCCCACAGTCAGGTTCACAACCAGGTCTCTGAACCTACGCCCGTGCTTTCTCCGCTGGAGTTGAGCTTCCTGAAGGGGGAGTCACAGTGCAAGAGCAGCGATGGGTTGGAATGATGGTGGATATGGTGCTACGGAAGGAATGGAGGGACTATCCAGAGCGGTGTGAGGAGGCACTATCTCCACCCCTTCCTTTGGTCAGCAACAAATTCTAGAGCAATATTTTTGGGAGTCATTGAAAAGAAGAGGCTTAGTGTCCAGCCAACTGAAACAACAGTGTCTATCTTTTGCTTGGCTTGTGATTTGGGCAAGTCATTTAACCTTACTACTGCTAAGTAGTCTTACCTGGAAAATGGGTGAGTGTGTTAAAGAACTTAATTTTACCCCCAAAGTTCGGTCTTTGTTCTTGGTTCCTAAGAGATAATCTCTCAAATCTTGGAACCCAGTGACTGAAGTGTCTTTGATAAGGCCTGCGGGCTAATATGGTGCCTCTTGTCTGGGAGCTGGCCAGGCTAGAAAGGCCCACCATGCAATATCAGCTAACCTCAGGGGAGAGGACATGATTCAATCACTCATGGTTAAGTAATGAGGCCCCACCCCCAGAGGCTCTAGATGCAGAAGCTCCATGGGCTTTCTGACTAATGATAGATAATCATGAATCCTCTGGTACCTGGGAGCTCCATGTTGGGAACCTTCCCAGCTCTTTCCCTATGTGTTTCTTCATTGATAAGCTTTTTGTTATATTCAGTATTACAGGAGTAATATGTACTATGGAGCCCTGATGTGGCACTGTAGAATGAGCATTGGACTGCTAAGAGAAGGTGGGAGATTCTAACCCACCAGTTGCTCCTCGGAAACCCTATACAGGGTCACTATGAGTCAGAACCTATTTTATGGTACCTAACAACAACAATAATAGGTGCTACATACAATAGTACAACACTCATTAATTTTGTGACTAGAAATACCATTTATATTCTCATTCCCAGGACATGCCAGATTATTCAGGAAAAATCTGAGAAGACCCTAATCTCTAAACTTTAATTGATCTTGAGGCTCTGCACAAGTAGGAAGTAAAGGCTCAGGTCGAATTGTCAACTGCCTGCTGGAACAGTGAAGAAATGTCCTGACAGACACACAAAACCTCTTACAAAGGCTGGCGTCTTATTGGTTCAACACATAGGAAGTAATTATCGATTCACTGTCTAACCACCAAGCAAACTGAGCATCGACTTCAGTGGCCACACATGACAAATAATATAGACTTCACATAATTAATCCAGAAAAATCACTAAGTAAACAAAGAAACAACCACCTTTACCAATAATAAACTGCAACAATTGAAAATAGCAACAACAACAACAAAAAACTAGGGAGGAATAGAATCTAATTTCCAGAATTGCCACATTGTAGTATCTAAATGTACGGTTTAAACAAAACAACAACAACTGGAGATTGACATACATGGCAACACCACGTAGAATTCAATCCAGATAGAGAAGTATACAAAGTAAAACAAACTCACAAGACTGAAAATAGAGAATCAGAAATATCAATTTATAATGAAGACAATAAAACAAAAAGAAGGAAAAGTATAGTTACAGAACCTCCAAATAGTGAAGATCAAGTCAATTTCAAGATAAAACAGACTGTTTTAAACTGTGGCAGAAATTATACATTACAAGGTAACCTCAAAGAAAATTAATATACCTTCACATCAAATCAAGAAAAGGGAAAACCATGAAGATTTTGTAAATGTTAAAACAACAGCAGTGAAGAAATTGACAAGAAAACACACAAACAAAATGAACTCAGCAGAGAAAAATATGTGGAACAAACAAAACAGAAGCACCACAAACACACACACAGCAAAATGACAGCAATCAATTCATATCTATCAATACTTACATTGAATGTCAATAGATTACATGCAGCAGTTAAGAGACAAAGATTAGCAGAATGGATAAGAAACAAACTCTTTCAACATGCTGTCTATGAGAGATA